GCTGTAGAAGTGTGGCTGTAGAAGTGTGGCTGTAGAAGTGTGGCTGTAGAAGTGTGGCTGTAGAAGTGTGGCTGTAGAAGTGTGGCTGTAGAAGTGTGGCTGTAGAAGTGTGGCTGTAGAAGTGTGGCTGTAGAAGTGTGGCTGTAGAAGTGTGGCTGTAGAAGTGTGGCTGTAGAAGTGTGGCTGTAGAAGTGTGGCTGTAGAAGTGTGGCTGTAGACAGTGTGGCTGTAGAAGTGTGGCTGTAGAAGTGTGGCTGTAGAAGTGTGGCTGTAGAAGTGTGGCTTGCTAGCAAGTGTGGCTGTAGAAGTGTGGCTGTAGAAGTGTGGCTGTAGAAGTGTGGCTGTAGAAGTGTGGCTGTAGAAGTGTGGCTGTAGAGTGTGGCTGTAGAAGTGTGGCTGTAGAAGTTGTCCTTGTGGCTGTGCTAGAAGTGTGGCTGTAGAAGTGTGGCTGTAGAAGTGTGGCTGTAGAAGTGGGCTGTAGAAGTGTGGCTGTAGAAGTGTGGCTGTAGAAGTGTGGCTGTAGAAGTGTGGCTGTAGAAGTGTGGCTGTAGAAGTGTGGCTGTAGAAAGTGTGGCTGTAGAAGTGTGGCTGTAGAAGTGTGGCTGTAGAAGTGGGCTGTAGAAGTGTGGCTGTAGAAGTGTGGCTGTAGAAGTGTGGCTGTGAAGTGTGGCTGTAGAAGTGTGGCTGTAGAAGTGTGGCTGTAGAAGTGTGGCTGTAGAGTGTGGCTGTAGAAGTGTGGCTGTAGAAGTGTGGCTGTAGAAGTGTGGCTGTAGAAGTGTGGCTGTAGAAGTGTGGCTGTAGAAGTGTGGCTGTAGAAGTGTGGCTGTAGAAGTGTGGCTGTAGAAGTGTGGCTGTAGAAGTGTGGCTGTAGAAGTGTGGCTGTAGAAGTGTGGCTGTAGAAGTGTGGCTGTAGAAGTGTGGCTGTAGAAGTGTGGCTGTAGAAGTGTGGCTGTAGAAGTGTGGCTGTAGAAGTGTGCTGTAGAAGTGTGGCTGTAGAAGTGTGGCTGTAGAAGTGTGGCTGTAGAAGTGTGGCTGTAGAAGTGTGGCTGTAGAAGTGTGGCTGTAGAAGTGTGGCTGTAGAAGTGTGGCTGTAGAAGTGTGGCTGTAGAAGTGTGGCTGTAGAAGTGTGGCTGTAGAAGTGTGGCTGTAGAAGTGTGGCTGTAGAAGTGTGGCTGTAGAAGTGTGGCTGTAGAAGTGTGGCTGTAGAAGTGTGGCTGTAGAAGTGTGCTGGAGTGTGGCTTTAGAAGTGTGGCTGTAGAAGTGTGGCTGTAGAAGTGTGGCTGTAGAAGTGTGGCTGTAGAAGTGTGGCGGTCGAAGTGTGGCTGTAGAAGGTGGCTGTAGAAGTGTGGCTGTAGAAGTGTGGCTGTAGAAGTGTGGCTGTAGAAGTGTGGCTGTAGAAGTGTGGCTGTAGATGAAGTGTGGCTGTACAAGTGTGGCTGTACGAAGTGTGGCTGTACAAGTGTGGCTGTACAAGTGTGGCTGTACAAGTGTGGCTGTACAAGTGTGGCTGTACAAGTGTGGCTGTACAAGTGTGGCTGTACAAGTGTGGCTGTACAAGTGTGGCTGTACAAGTGTGGCTGTACAAGTGTGGCTGTACAAGTGTGGCTGTACAAGTGTGGCTGTACAAGTGTGGCTGTAAAGTGTGGCTGTACAAGTGTGGCTGTACAAGGTGTGGCTGTTACAAGTGTGGCTGTACAAGTGGCTGTACAAGTGTGGCTGTACAAGTGTGGCTGTACAAGTGTGGCTGTACAAGTGTGGCTGTACAAGTGTGGCTTGGTACAAGTTGGCTGTACAAGTTGTTGCTACTGTTACAAGTGTGCTGTACAAGTGTGGCTGTACAAGTGTCGGCTGTACAAGTGTGGCTGTACAAGTGGTGGCTGTACAGGTGTGGCTGTACAAGTGTGGCTGTAACGTGTGGCTGTACAAGTGTGGCTGTAACAAGTGTGGCTGTACAAGTGGGCTGTACAAGTGTGGCTGTACAAGTGTGGGCTGTTACCACAGTGTGCTGTACAAGTGTGGCTGTACAAGTGTGGCTGTACAAGTGTGGCTGTACAAGTGTGGTTGTAGCCGGGTGCTGGTTGTAGCCGGGTGGTTGTAGCCGGCGTGGTTGTAGAAGTGTGGTTGTAGAAGTGTCGGCTGTAGAAGTGTGGCTGTAGAAGTGTCGGTTGTTAGCAGTGTGGTGTAAGCTGGGTGGTGGTCGTGCGCTCGCGGTCGCGGGGTATTCGGATTGTGACTGTCATAGCGGGCTGGTTGTAGCGGTGGCGGTGGCGCGGATGTCGCGGGGTTGGCGGCAGTGGGGTGTCTGTCGCGATGTGCTCACAGCGGGATGATTGCCGTCGTGTGGCGCAGCAGTCGTCGGCTGCGTGTGGAGGAGGCGGCGTTGAGGCGTTGGGGTGGCCGGCCCGGAGCTGCGTGTGGAGGAGGCGGCGTTGAGGCGTTGGGGTGGCCGGCCCGGAGCTGCGAGTGGAGCTGGCGCCGCGTCGGGTCGCCGCGCAATGGCGCCTCTGCTGGAGACAAAGACCCGGGGCCCTGCGGCCTGCGGCGGCACCTGCGAGGCGCGTCCAGAGCCCGCGCGGTGCTCGAGGCGCGCGGCGCGACGCGAGCAGCGGACGGGCGACGCGGTGCGGGGAGACGTCGCGAGGAGGAGGAGGAGGCGGCGGGAGACGGGGCGAGCGACGGGAGACGGAGCGCGGAACGAGACGGGAGCGACCGCGTCCGGGTTAGCGTGACGTCACCACGCGGCTTCCGGGTCGCCGCGAGAGCCCCGCGGATGATGTCACGGCGCAACATCCGGGTTACTTGTGACGGCGACAGGGTCCGTGTTGTCGCCGACGTCTCTTGCCTGCTATGTAAATGATGTCATGTACCACCAAATGTAGGTGACGTGACGTCACGCTCTGCCAGGTGCAGAGCGGCACACGTTGACAATAAAACTAAATCTTCTTGGTTCTTTCGGTAAAGTCACCACGTAGAAGGGAAGTAATAAAATAATAAAATAAAACATAATAAAATAATTCTCGCGACGTTTCGGCTACAACGCAAGCAGCCGTCTTCACCTTGTAGCCGAAATGTCGTGAGAATTATTTTGTTTTATTATTTTATTATTTCCCTTCTACGTGACTTTACCGAAAGAACCAAGAAGATGAATCCCTGCAGTCACGAAAGCTTTAAATTCAAAAATAAAACTAAAAGCTATTTTATTTTACCAGCACGAGACCCACTGAACTATATATGTGTATATGACACGTAAAGAAATCTTTAAAAAGTGCAATCAAATGTATTTATGTTCTGAGATGCATATACAGTAAACTATGTTTTATTTAACCAGGTGAGGCAAACTGTTTGGCATTCCTCGACTTACGAACACAATTGATTCGTAGGTCGGAACAAAATTGTACTTATTTAAATGCTCATAGATCAGTGATATGAACTGTTACGGTTCAACAAAAAAGGGAACATTGATAAACTCATGAATACGAAGAAATATTGGACGTGAGCATTTATAACTGTAAACAACTCAGGAGTTGTATAGTAAATAAAATATTAAATAAAGTAACAATAGAAAAACATTTTCACTGACCTTCAGCCCTGAATCCCCTGATGCTGGCTTGCTTGTCGGAAGGGGCGCAATGAGTCACGACAACAACAACCACCACCATTCACCACGGAGTGGCGGTGACGTCACCACGACGCTTGTGCCAGGCCACGTGCACATTGAGGCCACGTGAAGTGTCAACGCCCGCTTGCAGATCACGGCGCAGACCCAGGTGCTACGGGTCGACTGACCGAGATGAGTGGCTGATGCGCCACTTGTGCCCCCTACTGTGCCAACTTGCTGTGCTTTAGCCACCCGGCGCTCCGCTCGTTGTTGTGAGCGTCGGTCCTCCGCCCTCCGTTGTTGTTGGAGGGCGACTGCCTCCAACTGCCCAGTAGCCTCACGGTGCACCTAGCCTGGCACTGCCCAGCAGCAGCGTCCTTCACGAGCCTCCTCTACAGAGTCCGATCTTGACACCGCTGGACAGACCAGGTAGCGCTGGCGAGATGTTATCTCTCTCGCCTGGTATGCAGGAGGTTGTGGATTCTATCCCGACCCCGACCCCTGTATATTTGGAGTTTGCATGTTCTCACCGTGGTCGCGTGGGTTTTTCTACGGGTCCTCTGGTTTTTCCCTCCACATTTAGAAACATGCGTTTAGAATATTTGGCTGCTATAGATTTTCACACGATAAGCCACTCCTGCATGTCAGACGAAAGTTAGCACCTCGTCACCGTTGCGCCTCCACGTGTGGGGCCGTGAGCGGTTGCGACCCAACATCAACTTGGGGACGGCGTTCTCTTAAGTATTGGAGTCGTTTCCCATTCCGGATTTTGGAATTGGGGGGGGGGGGATGAAAAAAAGCACAGCAAACTATTAAGAGGCGACGTGCGGAGGGATTTATTATTTAATTTGCACCAAAACTTAAGCCAAGCCCGTAAATTCCCCACATTTCATCTTTCCCAATGATTGATGTGGTATTCTCCAGAGATTGTTGTGAACAGATGCAGCACAGTTAAGTGTTTTGTTCCAGATGTCTCAGGGACTAAACGGAAATTAGTCTCTCACTAAAGTTCTATTTTCTTTCGAAAGGCAGCGGACTTTTGCCTCGGCTTACAGGGGCATCCTTGCGGGTTAGAGGCAATGAATTGAAATTAGCCAAATAAACAAATTATGCATTTCTATAAGGAAACCAGAACTTAATTTGAAATTAAGGGCCTGGTTTGTGTTGGTGCAAACAGTTCCCATACCTCTCATTGACAGCTGTTGTTATTTTATCATAAAAAAAAATCATCAGGAAATTATCTTTCGCCAACAGATTAATACGTCTAAGGTGACGTGTTTTATATTTGAATTTAGTGTACCGTCTCCATGCCAACTCGACTCATCGGATGACAGCGATGCACGAGAACAAGAAGAATAACAAGGACACGTGTATACAACTTAATATCACAACGTACAGGATATTAAAACACAGAGTACAATGTTTTATTTGTCACTCTCAGTGTGGTCAGACTTCTCACAACGGGGGGCTAATGCAGGCTGAGCTAAACTGGGAACAAATGGCTGTAAACAAATGAACATTAACATTTGCAGCAAAGCCAGCGGACGGCACGGTGTACAGCAAGCGTTCACCCCTGCTTGTTGCAGACCCATGTAACGCTAAACAGAGGTGCTCTCACAATTCTCAAAATAAAGCAGAGATCTGGTAAACATTGATTCTTGATAAAGGTCGGTCACACGCAAACACTAAAGCACACGGCACCTATTCAAGCATGCATACAATTCACTGCTCATGAAGCATTGCGGCACAGTCATTCCAACACGTTTTTATCTGCAATGTAATTTTTTTCTTTTAACATTTTTTTTACAAACGGTACTACATCTCTCCTGTCACTACATGCAACAAGACTGGGATCTCCGAAACGGTACTGAGACTACAGTAGGTAGGTGGTAATGTGGCTTGGGTTGCTGCAGCTGACAGGACACCGTGCCCCGAGCCCTGGCAGACAGACGCTGCTGGAACAGCCACATGCTGCCACCACGTGGGTTAATGCTGTGGGGTTTTAACTGCAATCGCTGCAAAGCCGCCCCGCTAGGCATGAAGCAAAGCCCACCTGCCGTACTTCAAACACAATACTCAGAGGCTCAAGTATTTCCACTAATAACTACACTAAATGGATAAATTACACATACAGGATCACTACAGTATATGAAATGTTCACTAGTGACTAAAATACACAGCTTTGTCTTAATAAACACCAAAACGCACCCCCCCCTCTCCCAGATCTAGAGAAATTCCCATATTCTACAAGAAGTGGCCCAAGGAACAACACAATCTAAATACATTGAATGGGATTGTGTAGTTGTATTAATAGGCGCTACGGACGTAGACGATGAGCACTGAGGTAGGATATGGGAAAGGCCCCATCGCGATCTGGGAGGACTGAATACAATTACCATCATTCAAGCTAACGCCAGCTAGGAGGGCTCCATCATCCCAACAGGATACCTGAAGCTGCGTAAGTGAGAAGGCCTTGCGCCCATTCATGTCTGGCGGATCCGTATTGTCTCGCGCTTTTCGTGAAAACGTCCATCCGCGCCATCATCACTCGTCGAGCCTCGTGGAATATGGCACGCCGATGAGTCCGACGCAGTCACAGCTTGTCAAGTAACGAGCAATCGGAGACACCGCAGCAAGACGCAGTGCTGGTTTTTTCAGATACTGGTACAAGCCGCGCCCACAGACCTCGAGATACAGTGAAACACAGGAGCACCGCTTGCCATGGTTCCTTTCATCCAGTAGTTGTGCGTTGACAAGAGGTCGTTGACGGGAGAGTTGTATGATTTCAAGGGGCTGCTGCCTCTTGTTGCTGCGGCACGTCGGGCCGTCAAGGCCCCCACAGCGACTGCGTCTTCATGTTGACGTCGGACAGGCAGACGTCCTGGTCGCTCAATATCTCGCTCATGCTGAAGTCCGAGAGGCACACGGGCTCCTGGGCCGCCAGGTCCCTGAGCCCCACGTCCTGCAGACAGCCGTGCGGGCCCGGCCCGGGTAGCTCCCCCATCGAGAAGTCGGGCAAGCAGCGGCGACCCATCATGGCCGCCGGGAAGAAGCCTCCGTCGGGCCCCAACAGGTCGCTCATGTCGACGCGTTCGGTGCGCGCGATTCCCGCGCTCGTGACGCACACACGCTCCACGCTGGCAATCTCGCCCAGACCGGCGCTGCCCACCGCGCCCGGCACGCGCACGCGCTCGACTCCCGTCACCTCCCCCACGTGCACGCGTTCGACTGCCGTCACCTCCCCTGCCTCCCCCACGCACACGCGCTCGATGCTAGCGATCTCGCTCAGCCCGTCTGCCAGGCAGAGCTCTGTACCGCCCCTGCGGCGCGTGCCGTGCAGCAGATCGGGGTAGAACGGCCCGCGGCGCGCGCTCACGATCTGCTGCAGGTGGTGGTTGTGGTGCTGCTCCAGTGTGAGCGGCTCCGGCAGGCACGCGCCCTCCTCCTCCTCTTCCTCCACGCCGCTGCCGCAGAGGTCCTGCGCCGTGCAGCCCGCACGCTTGGCGCTCGTGATCTCCACAATGCGCATGCCCGTGAGGGAGAGCGGGCCCCCACGTGACAGGCAGCCCCGGCCCTCCCCCAGCATCGCGTCCCGCAGGCAGTCCGCTCGAGCCCCCACGTCGCCCACGTCCGACAGGCACTCCGCTTCCTCGTCCGCCGCCGCCATGTCCTGCAGACACACGTCGCTCGAGATGTCCATGTCGGAGAAGCCTGCGGGAATGGAGACGTCCGGAAAGCCCAGGTAGGGCTGTGCCTCCTCAACAGGGGAGGGTCGTTTGGCCGCACGTGCCGCCCTCATCTCGCCCTTGCCCCGTGCCGCCTTAACCCCGGGAGGAAGGCGAGAGCCCGGGGAGTATTGCTTCTGACCGACACAATCTTTTTCCGCTGCCGTCGTGGTCTCGGCCGAGACGGAGTTCCGGTGGCGCCGTTTCTCCGGCGCGGCGCTGCGTGGCTCCTCCGTAGGAGGAGGAGGAGCGGCGGGGGCCGCCGTGACCTTGTCGTGTTCATGCTCGGCAAAGCAGCGGTGTTGTCCGTCGGAGCTGGGCCTCAGGGCCCCCAAACTATGCTGCTTGCAGAATGAACTGGGGCAGATCTGGCAGAACGCCACCGCCGTCTTCCCACACACATCGCACACGTGCCATGGGCACTCCCACTTGCCTGTACACAGACATATACACACACACAACACAAACATACACGGAGCATGCAGACCCACAGAGTTCAAACACACAAGGCACACACACACAAACAGTAATTCGCTTAGGGTTCATGGACTCCTTGTCTGAAAGTCTTAGTTTGGAATCAGTCCATTTCGGTGTCTGATTTGCAGACATGCAGGATTAGCACTTCCTTCCAAAATTGTAGCGATGATCCTTACTGTCCTAACATTTTTTATCAGACTTGGAACTTGAAACAGAGACACTTCACCTCCAAGACTGGTGGACCTTGTGGCTCGAAGACAAGTTTAATCTTTCTTAGTGTAACACGTTCTTGTTGCTCAAACATGCATGGTGTGATACTCATCTCCACGTTACAGCCCTCAGCGATTGTTGACAATTCTCCATTCTTATGGCTAGGACAAGTCTATTCAAAGGTTAACCACTGCTGACTTTGCACAAGGTAGTACTACTAATTTTATCGACCCTGGAGTGATGAGGGATGAATCGATCCTCGCCCGGGATTTAAACTTGTCAGTCGTGCTGAACGTAATGCCCGCAAGTGCAGTGGACGTGCAGTTGGTGCTGGATGACGCCACCTGCTGACGGCGAGGGAGGTCGTGCGGGTATTTAGAACCCAGCCAGCACTGGTCAAAGGACCCTAGGTTGATTGACGTTAATATGATTTCACTTTCTTGGTGGCAAAACATAAACAGCCCGAGACACTGAATTCGCACAAATGGCGTGCAGTAATTCTGTGTAGTGTGGAACGGTCTGCAAAGCATTAGTGGAGAGTTCCTGCCTATAAAATGTCACAAAACCCAGCAGCGATCGTTTAGAGATCACTCACTGGTTGATCACACTCAAAACCGATGCTCACTGAAACAAATTCTGTGAAAAAAACATTGGCACACAAGGCCAACAGGCTGATGGACCTGAATGATTTATTTTATTCTTGGGAGGATGAAGCAGACTCTCGTTTGGCTGGATTGTTTACTGCTGCACTACCACCACTACCACCAGGAAGGTACACCGCGAGACCGCCAAGTGGGAATGCGGCGTCTCCTTCACCCGAGCACCAGCATCGGGTGGCGTGCGGCAGTGGCAGCATCCTGGGGGCCCACTTACCCTCGGGCAGCGTGCCGAGGTTGAGGCACGCCAGGTGGAAGGTTTTGGTGCAGTTGCGGTGGTCGCACATGACGAGCTCGCCTCCGTCCTTGCAGCGGAAGCATTCGCTGTCGTGCACCTTGTCCGCTCGCACTTTGCGCTTGCGATACTTTCGCTTGGGCTTCTTGTCCACAACCGCCGACTGTGCCCGCACACGAACACACACTGTCGCGCTCGTGCACAGACGCCGGTGTGTGTGCACATGTCACTCGGAGCAGACGTCCGTCGCCCCCAGACCACGAGGCAAAAGCGCGATCCACAGGCGAGGCCGGCGCGCTGCGCACAGCGCCGCCATTACCTTAGGCCGCACACCCAGGAAGCCGCTGCAGTTGGGGGCGCCGCACATGCACACAGTCTTCTCGTTGCCCAGGCAGTCCAGGTTGTAGTTGAACGTCAGCTCCGTGCCTGTACGTGCCCGCCAGCAGGGTGTATCATTGCATTAACGGCGCAGCCTTTGCGCACAACACAACTCCAAAATCCACACTCACATGGGACGCAAGGTACGGCAAACGAAGCAACGTGGAGGCAAGACGACATGAGTCATACTGGGTCACACAGGGCTGCTCATGCTATAATTCCACAAAGTTTCAATATTGTATTCGAATTTTAAATTACATGGGTGATCATAAACGTTCCCTTGCCTCAGTAATTTACTCCAGACTGAGACGCCCACAAGTGCAGCACACACCGCACACTCGCCGTGTACAATTATCAAGGCTATAAAGGTGATGAGGACCCTGGATGGGGGCTGTACATACATGCTCCCACACGTGTTCTTGTGTGTGCGAGTGTATGCAGAAGTGAGAAACAATGATGTAGTGGTTAGCTCACGGTGATACGAACCTAGATGCAATTCCCGGACACAGCTAACGTCTGTGGCAATTGATATCTGGTTGACTCGGCCTTAAATGAGTATTTGGTGCTGTGTGTAAACATCGCCACTGTGTAGACAAAGGCAGTCGGGCATGGTGTTGGCCATCCAACCCCTGGTGTGCCGTGCCAGCCTTCAAAAGTTCCTTGCTAACAACACTTGCCCCAACAGTGTGTTAAGTCTATACAGGGGCTCTTTGTCACTCAATATGCACATGAAAAGTGAAGTTTCAGTTTTCTGGTATCACAATTTGTTACTTTAGGTATAAAAGTCACCGGATGAGCATGTCATTCTAATCTCTTCAAGGTTACATGCCAATCAGGATCCCCTCTTCTTCTCTGCATCTACGGTTATACTATGACGAGACACAGCAAATGTAATTCATTTTTCAACTCTGTTGACCAACCAGTAAATATTTAGGAATTATCTTTAAACTCACAGTGACTTCAGTTTAACAGCAAACAAATAAAACCAAAAGGCTTGACCTTGAAAATAACAAACTTGAATATTGAGTGGTACCCTCGTGAGCATGCAGGGGCCTTACCGCATGGGATATCACTGACGGCGAAGAGACCCACGCGGGTATCCCCATTCACTGTCCACTTCTGCGTCTCGCAGTTGGGCTGGCAGCTGTGGTTCATGAAGCGGGAGAAGTTCCCCTTGGGCCCCGCGTCGATGATTCGGTCCTGAGCTCATGGCGCAATCCGGGAGCAGCAGCGGCAGCAGCGGCAGCAGCGGCAACATCACCACCCACACGCCCAGCGCTCAGTGAGCAAACTGATTCAAATGTGCCCAGCACCTAGCACTCACTCATTTAGCCAGGCAATCGGATACTTGTTACAAATCTAGTGTAAAGTCAAACGCATTTGATAAAAAAAAAAGTTTTTGATTAAAAAAATCAAAACATGTTAACATCCTAATGTAAAAATTTCAGTTTGTATTTCATTAACAGGTGTTGCCATTGAAATCAGACTAAGTTTTGGCTGGGTCTTAAATCGGGCCAAACAGGCCGGTTACTGATATTTGACCGATGGCCACCCAAAACCCCAGAAACCAAGGGATGCCCAGCGGCTCCCTCCTCGTGAGTTGGTGGCACCATACCGGTGCTACGGTGCCAGAAGACCCACACATGCTCTGCACTCATCGACTGCTCCTACTTGACATCCGCAGCCTCATGACGCACATTTACTTTTGATGCACAAACTAATTGTGCATTCACGCACGTGGCCTGCGAGCATGGGGGCAGCTGCTCGCCGCTCACCTTGTCAATGGTGAGCATGTAGAAGTTGGTGAGGTGGTGTTCGTGCGCATGCTTGATGCGAGCGCGGCACTCCTCCTCGTCAATCAGCTCCCCCACGTACTCGTTCACAAACTCCCCCTGCCGTCGGCATCACGCAGAGCACAGCAGGGGCACGCCGGTTAGCCGGAGCCATGCCACATCAATACGGCTGCACTCACCTCCTCACGACCCCGCCCACCTCGCTCACTATCCTGTCCACTTCCTCGTGGCCTCCATCATTACCTTACTCACCTACCTCCTCTCAGCCACACACACTTCCTCACCCACGGACACGCTCATTTCATCCCGCGCTTCCTCACCCACGGCCACGTGAACTTCGCATTGACACCCGTCCTTCCCCCTCTGCGATCTCTGCCCGGCCCCCATGCCCACACGCACGCTGCGTGGCTCCACATGCCTTTTTGATGTTGGCCTTGGCGCGCAGGCCCCAGCCCTTATTTTCGCTGCGGAAGATCTCAGCGTCGGGGTAGATGCGCTTGTTGAAGCACTGGTTGTGGCAGCGGTGGCCCGCGGGGCACACCGTCGGGTGGCACTCGTACAGAAGCATGCGGTTGAGGCACTCCGAGTCGAGGCCGCAGGGTGACTCGTCCGCGGGCTTGCAGTTGCAGCGCGGGATCTCGGACAGGTCGGCTGTATAGATCTGGACGCGGCCTACCGGTTTGTTCACCTATGGCACACGGAGCAGCACACGCTAGCATACATGGGGTACACGCTCCCTACACACGTGCACATCACGCTTGTATACGCAATTTTCTAGGGTGTATTTGTGTGGTAGGGTGTGTGCATGTGCGGTACATGTTGTTTGCGGTGTGTATATGGGTGAGTGTAGGGTACGGTGTGGATATGCGTGTGTGTGTAGGGTGTACTGTGTATATCCGTGTGTATGTAGGGTGTGGTCTGTATGTGTAGGGTGTAGTGTGTATATGCGTGTATGTGTAGGGTGCAATGTGTGTTTGTAGGGTGCGGTCTGTATATGGGTGTGTGTGTGGAGGTGGCAGTTTGTATATGGGTGTGTGTAGGGTGTGGTGTGCGAGTGGTGTTCGTGGGGTGGTATGTGTGTAGGGTGCGGTGTGTGGCATCTGCGCACCTTAACATGCTTGTAGGGTGGAGGCTTGCGCTGGCTGCGCTCATTCTCCTGTGCCTCCTTTTGCGCCTTCACCATCTTCAAGTCCTGGAAGCGGCTGGCTGCCTCCTGAAGGGCTGCACACCACGGCATCACCAACATCACCATCGCCACCACCAAACCACAACACACCAACATCAGCACCAGACAACATCGTCACAATATAACACTACACGAGACCACATGACCTATTATCATACCATCACCGCTCCACACTGCTGCCATAAGGGCACAGCAATGGGGTCATCAAAGCAGCCATATAAATCCTGCAGTTGCTGCCAAGTCAATCCCCAACTCCAAGTTCTGCTCCGAGTCTCCAGCTGTCTGGCTTTCGGGCCCCCCAATTGGTCACCGACCTCTGGGTGCCATGCCAATGGCCATCCCTGTATCCCACCCTCCTCCACGCTGCACTCGTGCTCAACCCATCACGACCCCCTCTTCCCGCCCACATATTTGCTCTCCTGCGACATTATATTCCAACACTCTAAGTTATTTTACTTATTCTTGGTTGAAGCCCCAAGGCATCTTAGATCACGCTACCGTGAGCACCGCGGTAGATGTTAACTACCTTGCCTGGTAAACGGGAGGTTGTGGGTTCGATCCCGACCTTGACGTCTGTGTATTTGGAGTTTGCATGCTCTCTCTGTGGTCAAGTACATTTTTCTCCAGGTCCTCCAGTTTTTCCTTCCACATTTATAAATCAACATGCGTTTAGAGAATTTGGCCGTCATAAATTTCCCCGTGATAAGCCACTTCGTTGACGTATCATTTGAGGCCAGGTCACTTCTGAAAAAGAGTTGCATAGCTCGGTGGGCCTTGCCGAGTGAAATCAAAAGTTAGTTAAATATTCAACTGCATTAATAGGCCAAAAGCTTATTTTCTAGTCCGTGTCATGGTATTGTGGAGCCAGACTTACCAAAAAGACGGTTAAGTGTCAGAGACGGCAAACATCCTTACTCCACCTCCATGAAAGAAATACGCAGAGGCACTCCCAGGGAGCCAAAGCACACAAGTAATGACCTGATCTCCCCAGCGCAGGCACTCGGCCCTCACAGGCACCCGTGTCAGGCGAGCTTGGGCCTAGGGTGGCCCACACCGAGCTAGGAAAGTGGTGCCCAAGAACAGCAGCAGAGCCCAACCCGTCCCACAGATCACATCTCCACGAACCCTGCTTGAAGATTCGGTTGATGCCCTTGGTCCTGTTGGCCGTGCTGCCCTTGTCTCCCTCCAGGTAGGGGAAAACGCGCGCCTGGTACGTCCAGAAGAAGTCATGCGAGCCGAAGAAGCGCACGGGGAACTCGCCCAGGGAGTGCCGCAGGGTCAGAATGTTGGTGGGCAGAGAGCGCGGGTTGCACACCTCCGCTGGCCACCACCTGCATTACACAGTGGCATTGATCCTTTCTTAGTTTGGCACAAGACCGCCACCAACGGCAAGGTGCGATTGGCATTACGCGCCCGGCACGACGCAACCGGCGCAGCGCGGCACAGCACGGCACAATAAGCATAACACACAATAAGCATAACACACAATACGCATAACACACAATAAGCAATGCACAAAAGCCTCAAGAGCACAACGAGCACAGCACCTGAAGAGAAATGCAATTATATGTGGTGTAAGGTAATGTATATAATAGCACACGACAACACGGCTTATAGCACACTTACTGGCCTCTATGGTAGAGTTTATAAACAACATAATTGGGACGAGAGTAGAATCTAAAATCTGAATAATCGAAGCCTCTGTCCCTAGCAACCTCAAAAATGCCTCTCACAATCGGCGACTAAGAAAGAGCACGAGACGGCCATCCCCTCCCACAGTCCGCATGCCGAGGGCAGCGAGGCCACGCACAGAGCCAGGGCACCACAGGGCACACGCATGCACTCGTAAAGCAGTTTAAAGGATCTTGACATTGCTTCACAGCATATTCTGGAGCCTCATTCTCATGTTGTGGTTGTACATGTGGAGACAGGAAAGTGACGCAGGAATGTGACCACAACCACACATCACTTTTTAGCCCTCGTGTGAGCAGGCCTGGTGTCTCTCTTCCAGCTACCAACACCATTATCATCTCCAATTTACATAAACCTCCACAATATCACACACACACACCTCTTCACATGTCACAAAAAGTCCCCTGAATACATCCACAAAAACAAAAATTATTTAAAACTATAAACTTATTTTACCGGATAAAGCCCACTGAGCTATATAGCTCTATTTCAGAAGCAACCTTGCCACAAATGATAGCTAAACAAAGTGGCTTATAATGTGGACATTTATAGCAGCTAAATACTCTACATGCATGTTTCTAAATTATGGAGGAAAAAACCAGCGTTCCGGGTGAAAAATCCACGTGACCACGGGGAAAACACGCAAATTCCAAATAGACAGGTGTCGGAATTGAACCCGCGACCTCCTGTATACCAGGCGAGGTCGTTAACATCTCGCCACCAGAGACCCTCACGCTGAACACGTGGCACTAAACCACACATCTCCTCACACGCTCACAGACCTGTAGCTGCCCACTTTGACCCAGACGACATCGCGGTAGTGAGGCCGTCGCCCGGCCTTGCAGTCGTTGCAGTACCAGCTGCCCTCCGGCATGTCCATGCAGAGGCACTCGGGGTGGAAGGCGGCAGGACACGCCTCACAGCACAGCAGCTTCCCTCCTGCGGCAGCGCACGGGAGCATCAGACACGGTACATCCTCCTATGCACCCGGCCTCATCACCAACAATCACTCCCAGGGTTCGTGCTGACACTACTTCTCAATCAAGGCCTGTCAAACCTTTATCAGTACCTCCGTTTACTACAGCTAAAACACATACTCTTTGGTTATTTTGGTAAAGTCACGTAGGTGAATTTTTTTTTAATCACGACGTTTCGATTGCAACACAAGCAATCATCATCATGTGTGACAACCACAGCAGGAACATTTTTACTGAAGTGGGAGAGATGCCCTCTCTGACTTCCATAAACTCCTTAACTCCGGTATCTCTCCCACTTCAGTAAAAATGTTCCTGCTGTGGTTGTCACACATGATGATTGCTTGTGTTGCAATCGAAACGTCGTGATTACATTTTAATTTTTTCACCTACGTGACTTTACCGAAAGAACCAGGGTATGGATCCTTGCAGTCACGAAAACTTCAAATCTAGAATAAAACACATACGTTGAGCATCTTTATCAATAAACATCAGTTTCATTTTCTTGGTTCTTTCGGTAAAGTCACGTAGAAGGGAAGTAATAAAATAATAAAAATAAAACATAATAAAACAATTCTCACGACGTTTCGGCCACAACGCAAGCAGCCGTCCTCAGGTGAAAACCAGGTCCGTCGAGGCGACAGAGTCTGAATGAAACAGCACACGAGCTTGGAGCATATATATAAGCTGGGCGCATTGACAAAGGAATTTGCATATCAAAAGGAATTTAGCATATTTATGGGAAATGCAGGAATGTGATTAGTACTGCATATGCATGTGCATTATGCAGGATTAACAGCATCAAAGGGAGCTGCAGTTACTGCTGCTGCAGCAGTTGCTGCTGCTGCTGCAGTTTCTGCTGCTGCTGCAGTTGCTGCTGCTGCTGCAGTTGCTGCTGCTGCTGCTGCACTTGCTGCTGCTGCTGCAGTTGCTGCTGCTGCTGCACTTGCTGCTGCTGCTGCACTTGCTGCCTTATCCATTTTAATATAACACTATGTATTATTCTACCCACCCTAATGTGTATCATACTGCTATATGTTTACTGTACAATTACGACACCATACATTACTCTGCACACTGCACCATGCCAGTGAGTGGAACGTGGTCTGAAAGTCACCGTAAACGTGAACACAATCAGTTAAGATCCGAAATGGTTTATTACGTCCTTCCAATGATTGCTAAGCCAGAATCCATCTTCTCGGTTGAAATTGCAGCAGCAAGTGCAGCAGCAGCAGCAACTGCAGCAGCAGCAGCAACTGCAGCAGCAGCAGCAACTGCAGCAGCAGCAGAAACTGCAGCAGCAGCAGCAACTGCTGCAGCAGCAGTAACTGCAGCTCCCTTTGATGCTGTTAATCCTGCATAATGCACATGCATATGCAGTACTAATCACATTCCTGCATTTCCCATAAATATGCTAAATTCCTTTTGATATGCAAATTCCTTTGTCAATGCGCCCAGCTTATATATATGCTCCAAGCTCGTGTGCTGTTTCATTCAGACTCTGTCGCCTCGACGGACCTGGTTTTCACCTGAGGACGGCTGCTTGCGTTGTGGCCGAAACGTCGTGAGAATTGTTTTATTATGTTTTATTTTTATTATTTTATTACTTCCCTTCTACGTGACTTTACCGAAAGAACCAAGAAGATGAATCCCTGCAGTCACGAAAGCTTTAAATCGAAATCAGTTTCATTGTTTATTTTAAAAGTGGAACTTGCACACCGTGTCAATTTCTAATCTCGTTCCGTCTCACACCATGCATTTTTATCCAGGTCTCCCCGGGCATAAAAAACTGCATCAAAATGGGCCCACACGATCATACAAAATAGATTCCTCCACTTAATTTTGAAATATGACGAGTAAATCCAGAATCCACTCCCGCTGCATTCAATTGCCCATCACTCCCTGCCTACATGTGTAAATCGGCCGCAAGACAACTTGTTGACTGCCCACTGTCACCGTGCTTCCAAGACAGTTTTTTTTATTATTTGAAAAGCATCATTATGCCAAGTTATTTGGAAAATATACAGGAAGGCTAAAAATGTACATGTCCTTATTATTACTTAAATTCAGAAGTACCCCAGCGAGCTGTTTTCCACATTTAACCTGCCCGATGCCGGATAAACAATACAATAAGTCGTCAGCGCCTCCTGCGCCGACTGAAGCCCACGACGTGCACTGTGCATCACGTCACGTCATGGCGAGTGGCTTCCCGCGGGGTTGTCTCGCTCGACCGCCCCGTCTCTCGCTTCATCTCCTTTCTTTTAGTCTCATTCACTCTGGTTTTGTCCTCCTTGCGTTATTTTCCTCCGTTTGTGTGTCCTTGGTTTTGCTGCTCGGAGGGCATCGACCCTCAATAGTGAGCAGTGCGGCAAACATGGCGTTTACAGCAGTAATTTTTTTTGTATTATACACGTATTTAATAGTCTTTGGGAAAATGTTATTGTATCATATTCTCGTTGCATTTGCAGCCAGCCGAACTTTTTGGCGTGCCGGAGCGGGGTTCCCTTCTATTAGTGCCGCTGCCGGGGTTTTGCTGTGAATGCATAAATTAATTAGCTTGCAGTGATTTAATCCAAAAGCAGCCGTAAAGAAAAACAATTCCGTATTAGGAAACGGGGAGTGATTCTGATTATATGAATGCACTCGACTTGAATAAGCCTCGTAATTTCTCCTCGTTCTTTTTGGAAATTCAGTGTTTAAAATCAGAAAAATAAATCCAACTTTAATTAAATCGCAGAGTTTTATAATAACAATTAGGGATGCTACCCTGCCATTGACAGAAAAGCAAACACTCTGGCTCCAAGACGAGTCGCCCAGACTGAATCTGGCTGGGTGGCGCAGCGGCTAGAGGACTTGACAAGCCGCACAAGGAAGTCAAGTCCGCTCATCTCTCTCGGGTCCCTCAGATATATAAGTACCAATTTTTGAGAAGACATCAGTGCTCAATGAATGGAATAATCTCCAACAAGGATGTGGAGTTGCCATCTCTGACTCCAGGGTGGTAATGATTAAGATCGCCTATCCATATGACCCTTTATGCTCATATCAAGTTGATGAAAAAATAGTCGGCTTTACCCTTCCCGGTAAGAATAGGTGTTAAGATGTTCAAACGCCAAATAGACACCCATCACAAGGCAACAAAAGTCTGCATTACCACACATGCTAGTGGTAAAATATGCAAACAAACATGCTTTGATAATTATATGTAATGTCTTTAGAAATCGATTGGCCTACACCAGACAGCCTCCCTTGTGGCCTCGTCTCACCAGTGTTAGACCAAAGAATGCCGAAAGGAGAACAGCATCTTCATGATCATCGTCTCATTGCCCCGTTTGACGAGCAGCAGGACACTTTGACATTGAGCAGACTACTAAACCGCCAAGTTCCCCACCTCTTGAGCAGACGAAGCACCAGCTGACGTTAACATGCGAGTGGTGGTTGCAGCCCTTCTGGGCTGCAAAGTGTTTTGGGCACACAATGCTGTTGGAGGCCAGGATGGTGCTGCCTGCTGCGATGCAGTTGTCCCCAGTGTGGTACGCTACGGGGCACCGTACGCAGCGCATGAGGCGGCCACCTACGCAAGGAGCATAAGCAACACGCACACGCGCACACACATTCGTTGCAGGTTACACACACACGTGTGTATGTTTAACTTCTTTCGCATCGTATATAGCCAACCGTGTTAATCGGAGGTGTGGGGTAAGACAACAAACTAAACACAAAAATCTGTTCTAAAGAAATTAGTTTTAAATCTATATAATTTAAAAGTCCATCACTTCAGTGGCTTCCAAATATCGGAAGAACATTCCAGAAGGCCGCAGAAGTGCATCTGAAAGCGCGCAATGTACACACACACGTTCACAACACGTTGTCGTTGCAGTATTGGGCCTACGTTTGAGAAAGAGTATTATAAAATGGTTTAGACTCTTGGGAACCATGAATAAGAATGCACAACTGGATGTAAGTTCGCAACGTGGTTTAAATTTTACATCTGTTGTGATGGACATGTTTATGCTATACCATAGCATGCGGTGTGTAATGGTGTGGTATGTGTGTGTACAATGTGTATGTGCATTGTGTGATGATATGGTGTGAGGGGGCAGTGTGTGGGTGTGTGAGATGGGATGGTGTTTGCATATGTGATGGTATTGTGTAGAGAGCGGCTAGCACATTGCGCTACGACACCGGTGATCCGAGTACATTTTCTAATCACGGCCAAAATCCATGACAAATATTTGACCTGGTCCTGGGCCTCGTCTAGGTTGAATAACCCTTAAATTATGAGTACCTGGTTCCGTATGAACATCAGCACTGGAAACACAAAGGCGGACAGGCGTGGTGCTGGCCACCCACTACCTCTTGTGCTCACTAACAGCTCTTGCCCCAGCAGCATGTTAAGGCTGCACAGGGGACCCGTGTCTTTGTTTAGTGAGCGATGGCGCAGTGTGGGAAGGCGCGCACCCCTGAATGCGCGCGGGTTGTCGGGCTGTGAAATGTGACAGGCCAGGCACACGTGCAGCGAGCAGCGGAAGCCCTTGCCCTCCAGCACAGTCCCGCTCAGGCGCCGCACGCACTCCACGTGGTAGAACTTCCCGCAGAGCGGCGCGAGGCAGCGCTTCAAGTCGGCGCCCGGCTCCTTGCAGTCGAAGCACGTGTGCACACCTGCACCGCCGCCGTGCAACATGCGCAGGGCACGCCGCTCACCGATACCGCCCGACTCCAATACATTGCGAGCACAGGAACACATTGTGTAAAAAAAGAAAAAAGTGTATTTGTAACTTAAATTCTCCAAAATGATGCCGAATGATTATTTTGTGCTTTACATTCATTATATAGTTTTGTGTCCATGTAGGACATATCTAACAGAACGGGTCCTTGGCTATAAACATGTGGCAGTTCACCAGCATTGGTTCAAGCAAGCCTGGCTCTGCTGATGAGACACCATATCGAAAGCACCCAGAATCTGGTTGTGTTATACCAACACTGCTGCAAACATGCACTCTGAAAAGGCTACGTGGCTGATGGGATGTGTGAAAATACTTAAGATTGTTTATGTTGAGAGGCAAATATAGAAAGGAGGTATGGCTTTTTGTGCGAGCGCAAGTCTATACATAATGTTTAAAAACATGCAGTATAGAAAAAAAATAAGAGATCCATTTCAGTTCAAAGCCGACGAATGTCATCACCACTGTGGTATGTTGCAGCATACGTGCATCCCGGTGAAAATTTGAAGACCAATCACCTGCGGAGGATCGAGTCCCAAAAAGCAAGGTGAGCCACGAGCTTTAACTACCAAACTTGTCCTACGCGTATCCATGCGTGACATCAGTAACACAGAAGTCAATATTTGGCTACGAGCAGCTGCTCTATGGGATGAATGTCAGTGCTGGGACACACGATTCAGAGGAACAGGATAGAAGATAACATGCAAACGAGCACACCGAAGAAGTGGACAAACAAACAAGAGACTACAGAAGAGGTCGAACCGCCGGTACATAGGGGAGATGAGCAAGTCAGCAGACGAGTTCTTGTACTGAAATGCTGGAGGAGCAACATGAAGGAACAGAGGCTGTGCGGGAGAGAGAGCAGAGGCCGCGGGACTGGAGGACGGCAACCCCCACAACCAGAGTAGAGAGCGTGGCAGCTTTATTTACAGGGACCAGTTTAGGGATCATTTCAGGTATGGTGGTTACCATAACCGTGGTAGCGAGATGCTAACTGCCTCGCCTGGTATACAGGAGGTTGTGAGTTCGATCCCAACTCTGATGCATGGATATATGGAGTTTGCATGTTCTCCCCGTGGCCGCATAGATTTTCTCCGGGTCCTCCGGTTTTTCCTTCCACATTTAGAAACATGCGTGTGGAGTATTTGGCTGCTGCGAAACATTTCCACATGACAAGCCACTTCTCGTTGGGCTATCTTTGTGGCCAGGTCACTTCTCAAACAGAGCTACATAGTTCAGCGGGCCTTACCTGGTAAAATAGAAATAATTAATAGTTTTTAGTTTATAACCGGTCCCTCGATAAAGTATAATCAGAAACATAAGTCTAAAGCAGGGAGAGGTAACTCATGGAGAAGAGCTAGGAGTGATGGCCACAGGGAAGAGAAGGCCTCACCTGACTTGCATTCGCTGCACATGAACTTGCCGGAGGGCATTGTGTCAAGTTCCAAGCAGGATAGGTGGAAGGCACTGCAGCATTGGCCCTCGCAGAGTATCAGCTCCCCCGTCTTCTCACAGATCTGGAGACACGATGACATGAGAGAACATTTGCAGCAGCAGAGGGGAAATCTGAACGACCCACGGTGGATATGCCGCTGGTACAGATACAGAATACTGTGATATATTTGGAGACAAACGATGGCACGGTGGGTTAGTGAACCTTGCTACAAGCCTCTATGATACCCATCCATGTCTAGAGTGATATCTGAACTGGTACTTCACCAACCCTCAATGATGAGGGGGGGGGGGTAAAGTATGGTTAAGAGACCCACACCAGTGAACTGACAAGGTTCTGCATTTAAAATATATACCAATTATTGTGCGCCCCCCTCCCCAAAATACAAAAGTCTATTTTTATACTTTTTGCATTGTGTACAGTCTGGAAGCTGCCCACATGCCAAATTTCAAGTTTGTTGCATGTTGGGAAGTATGCTCAACATTTCGAACAGACACACATATTCACAAATTTCCCTTTTATATATATACCCAATGGTGCCATGTAGATGCTAAAAAGTGATGGGTCAAACACAGATCCCTGCAGAACACCACAGAGAACCGGTCTAATTGGTGACTTGCAGCCATCCTTCGTGACAAAGTACCTACGTTTCTTTAAGTAAGAGTGGAACCAGAACAAAGCTATGGCAGAGATCCCCATTGAAACTTCCAGTCACTCAAGGAGAACCCTGTGATCAATGGAGTCAAATGCCTAGCTTAGATCTAGCAGAATGAGGAGACTGACAAAGCCTTTTCATGCTAACAAAAGATTATCATTGATCTCCCTTACCTGAGCAGTCTCGGTGCTATGCTCTGAACACCGATTGAAAGCGGTCAATTAGATCATTTGAAGCCAGGTGCTGATGTAAACGAATGACCACAGCTCGCTCCAGAAATTCAGACAAATACGAAAGGTTAGATAGAGTGAAACATTTTCGGTAGTTCAGGATCAAGACCCAGCTTTTTTAAAGTGAGGCGACTGCAGCCATCTTAAAATTTTCAGGAACTGTGCCGGTTTTGAGGGACCAGTCTTCTGACCGAGGGTGAATGGCCTCAGTATAACTGAATGGTACCGTAACAGCCGCTGACATCTAAATCATGAGAAATGTAACCTCTAGAGCATTGGTTCCCAATCCGTGGTCCGCAAGGAAATGGGAAGTGGCCATGGAACCATTGGAGATACAACCATTTAGAATTGTTAACTTTATCAAATGTTATTGGATCACAGTGGTCCACTAAAAATGACGAAGGTTGCTAGTGACAGTCCGCGGTTCAGATACGTTGGGAACCGCTGCTGTGGAGAAGTCACACAAATATAAAATATCACCAGTAAGTGGCCCAATAGCAGCCTCCATCACAGATCAAGCACTACCTGCATAACCCGCCGTGATGATGCAGGCAGCCCAGACATCCACTAAGAGCATCATGCTGAAGTCCGAGCCCCCTGTCACTTGGCTCCTGACCCGGCCGGCTCACCTGGCACACGCTCTCCTTCTTGGTGGAGCCCCCGGCCCCGCGCTCGGAGCGCTTGTGAGAAGACACCGTGGCCAGGGACAGATCGGCGCTCTCCTCGTCCTCCGCAGGTCCCTCCACCTGGCCCTCCTCTGACACCTGACCAACCACGACCATTGTAGTTAAACACTCACACATGTACGTACCCACCTGTGTGCATGTGTGCGAGCGTGGGTATGTGTGTCCACGAGCGTTAGTGTAGTGTTTACTGCACTTCGCTAGGGACCCAGTCCACTTATGGCCAACATCAGTGACAACTATCTGAACAGGTCCTGCGTGAGCTTGTGTACGTATGTACATGTGGGCGAGCGAGCGACGCACACACACGCTTCTGTGTGCTCGAAACTTCACCTCCGACTCCTGAGCAGAGCCAGTATCACCAGACGCCGCCTTCTCTTTCAGCGGCACAGGGCATGATGAGGCCTCGGGCGCCGACGCGCGGTTACGTTTCTTCAGAGGCTTGCACGCATCAGCCAGCTGGCTCACCTCTGAGGGGACACAGAGGGTCCAAGCATCAACACAGCACACATGGAGACACAAACTCAACACTGCACACACATACACAAGACACAAGCACATGTGAGAGAGCTCAGTGACTCACAACACAACGAAAAGGACAAGTACACAAAGCACGTGACACTGCACATTACACACTGCATACATTATACACAGCAACGCGTGCAACATTCTAGAGGGTTATCACAATAGAGGAGAGTCTGCATTTCAATGCATGTTGGGTCGAGGAGGGCAGTGCGACGGGATAGCATGGCGCACGAGTGTGGAGCAGCTCTCCAGCAGATCGAGCCCTGTGGCCTCAGCCTGGCCGGCAGAACCGGCTAGGCCCTGCTCCCGGCGCCAGATTCAGCAATGATAAAATAACTTCACCCCACTCTGCCGGGGGACGTACGTATGCATGTTGAATTTCTTTCACACCATACATAGCCAACCACGCTAATCAGGACATGGGACCATATTGTTGCATGAAGCTTTGTGATTTCATGTTTTGGTCTCCAATGCCAATCTTGGATCAGGCAATGACAATGCACTGAACTGCCCCGAAGAATGGAAGAGCACCATGTGCTGCCTGTGTACGAGGCGGTAGTTGGGGATCATCCCATGGGCTGGATTCTGCTGTGATCCCAGTGGAATTACAAACCTGCTTCTCAATTCCAGAAGAAAGTTTCTGGTGAAAACAGTGAGAAAACCCAAGCACAAAGGAGGCTCACATGGACATGTGGAAAACAGATGGTTCAGAAGAGCAAAAATAAATGGCCAATGCCCTTCTTCACTGCAGAGTGCCAGATGTAATATTTAGCCTTGTGAGATAGAGGGATATTGTCCAGCATGAAAGGGGGGGGGGTTATTGGCAGGCTACAGATGTGAACACATCCCACCTTTTATGCGTAGTATCAAAGTTCAGCCGTGAATTTGGATCAGAGTGGGCGAGGGGCACAGTGGTTCACTGGGCAGCCAGGCAAGCTGGGTGGGTGGTGTTAGCTGGGCTAAGGGGCCAGGTGCGGCTGGCTGGCTGGCTGGCTAGGGGGTTGGTGGGGTGAGGTTTGTCGTGCTGGCCGCTCCTCCCCGTGCTGTAGTCACCTGAGGGCCCGGTTGGCGGTGCCGGCGTGGAGTAGCTCTCGGGGGACGTGGTGTCTTCCGTGCCGGCCGACCTGCTCTTGTCAATGTGTGATGAGGGGTGGTACACGTCCTGACACGCACACATACAGCAACAGTCGCTCGTGTGCATTTAAAGCTGATTTTGCTTCACATTAGACATGTACTCTTCTATTGAAATGCAGAGAAAAGTTGCAGAGTACTATAATAATGATGAATTATCATTGCTCAGTCCCTCCAGAAAAACGCGATTATGCGATCGCAAGATTCCACGCAAAATCAGCCAAAGTCCGCATATTTATGCGGGGGGCGCGTTTTTTCAAATACGCCGCACTTTCGCCGCATAAATTGCAGATTTCCGCGCGCAAAATATGCGGGCTTGCATGATTTCATAATCCCCGCATTTTCGTTGCAAAAAGTCACATATATCTTAGCAGAAAGTTGAAAAATATTGCGTTTACTTCACACAAGCGCAGCCATTTCCCCTGTTGCCATGGGAACGTTATGAAGTGTTAGAGGCTACGTAGTTAGTTTTATTCAGGAGTTTATGCAACTTTACAGTTGAAAGATTGCACTTTTTTGTTAGTAGTATGTAAATTTACATTACTGTAAGACTGTACTGTTACTGTATTGCTTACGTTACTGTGCACTGAAAACACTTATTTTAACAGAAGATATCTGTTTTGTATAGCTACCTCTGTAAAACAGGAAGCACACATTTTATTTTTTAATATTTTATTTATTCATTTTTACAGAAGTTGTAGCATATTCATTTTGTAAAGCTACAGAACTTGTTCGACTCAATGTTTTGTAAGTTTGAGCCATCTGTTTGTTAAGGTCTGAAATAAAACAAGATGAGAACTTAAATATTCCCAGCACTTTCTGTGATGTAGTATGCTTGCTTATCATATGAAGTAATAAGAAATGACTCTTTACATTAAAGTAGTAGCCTAGTGAATAGGGTGTTGGGGGAATCACTTTTTTTTCTCTTTTTCATCAAACCGCAGTTTTTGCAAGTTCCCGCAATTTTTGCAAGTTCCCGCAATTTAATCGCATAAAATTGCATAAATATCCCGCATATTCCATCACATTTTTTAAGAAAACGTGCCACATAATCAACGATTTTTGCCCGCAACAATCACCAAAAAACTCCGCGTTTTTCTGGAGGGACTGATTGCTATATTAAAATGCACAGTGCATTGTTACTAGTGGAAATGAACACAAGTCACTTAAAATGTCACTGCAATAACTGTAATGTTGTGCAATCTTTACAAATTGTCATGAATGTTGCACAATTTCATTAGTTCTAATTACTGCAGTTGTGCAATTATTTGATGTAAATTAACATGCGGAGATCCGTCACCATCATCAGCCATGATTCATCGGTTCCGCAGCATGGATGGATATATGTACACTAAAACTTCGCCCATTGTCGATTTGACCATTTGCACCAAATTTATTGAGGTACAGTTCGTGGATCGCGCCCTTGTGGCTCGACAATTTGCGGTTAATGGCGAGATTCCCGCATGCATCGTAAATGAGTACTGCACTCTACCCAAACTACTCGCGATGATGCTGCCATACACAGGCCATCACCATCATCATCATTCATAGTAAGTAAAAGTATTTTTAGTTTGTTCTTTTTCAAACTGCATATTAACTGCACTGTCATTAACCTTGCCTTCATTTTCAAGTTTACTTTCACATGTAGTGTGAGTATTTGTTTTTTTATTCTATACATTTACTGTACAAGTTATAATTAACACTATAGGAAATATTAATAATATTTTACATTAAATATACTTCCTGTTTCAGGTTTGGGTATATGTAAGGGAACATAAAACAAAAGGAGAGGATGTTATATTACGAACCGTGAACCAAACCCGATGTTTTCCACGTGATTGAGTTTGTGGATTTGCTGATTGCGGCTATTTTTAAGAACATAACCCCAGCAACAATCAAGGTTTTGGTGTCTTCATTATAACAAAATACCCACGCACAGGGGAGTTATTTCATTCTTTTTGAACCCTGAAAATGTGTTTGGCTGTGTGATGTGGTGGAGGGTTTTTAACGGCTCAGATTTGGTCAGATCAAAATTCAACTGCCAACGATAAACAGGCAGTAAAGCGGTATAGAGCTGCCGACGGTTGCGGATGTTTCCATGAGGCTGGTGTCAGCGTGTGGTTACGGGAAACAGCAGCACAGGGTGGCACCACGGCCAGCCAATGGGTTTCTCGGCACGAGTTTAAATCAGCCGACTCCACTGCACCTTGAGGTCCTTCTTAGACTTCTTCCTGGGAGACTCCTCAGCAAAATCTCCAGTCGACTCAAGTAACTTCTTGGTGGGTCGCCTTTGACGCTTCGCGCTGTCGCCCGAGTCTGTGGCACAAGGTAAATGTTCTAAACGAGCCCTGCGGGAAATTGCTAAGGTTGTCAATGCAAACATTCTCCAATGGGTGGCGACACCGACGGTCAAAAAGACACGGACACAAAGGTTCCTTTTGTAAGGGGTATTAGGAAGGGGTAGACCTGCACTGGGATCATGTGGCACTGCAAGGGATGCCCTCAATACATGGGGCACAACTCGATTCAACCTCACGTAATTTGCTAAGAAAAGCACAGAGATGAATTAACAGTTTTACAAGGGAAACCTGGAAACCACATGGATTACAGATGCTCACCTGTAAAGCGGCATTTTGAAAGAAGAGCTAGTGGAACACAGATCACCATCGCACTTTCCAACCCACTGGGCTGAGAATCTGGCCACGAGGTGCATGGTGGCCTTTGACACGTGACCTGCCATCGGTGATCACGAGAGCGTCATCCCTCATTTTGGTGCATTTCCTATTGGTACTCCCACTCTATTACAAGTGCTAAATAAACATTACAAGGGAACTCACCAAACAATCCAGTGCAAGACCCTCATTACAAAGAGTATTCTGATGCAATGGAATATTGGGCATAAATTACAATCTTTAAATGTCTTTATTTACACAGGGGCATCTCTCATCATTTAATCGCAGATAAGGTTTAAACTCGGGATTGTAACTGGTCAACAAACCCTCCATCACAGCGGGGAGGTCATCGTAGAGATGAGCACGCCAGCTGCAGGACGCAAGCCGTCAAGCCCAAGCCATGGAGCCGCCGCTCGGCAATCGAGACGCCAATTCCAATGCTCCCAGCGACATGAACCCCAGGATCCCATAAAACACTGGAGGTAAAGGATTTCAGCTTCTGGTTAAATCAGCCATCAATGAGAGGAAATTAAGTCTGTCATCAAGGTAGGACCTGCTGTGCATTGGTTCTGGGAGTGAAATGAAGCTGCTCTCTCACTTCCAACTGCATCGGGGCATTGCGAGTAGCACTGGACACAAAGGCCCCCTGCTGTTCTGCTGTCGGGGCTGGATGGGGCATGAGTGGAGGGGGGGTACCTTCGTCCCCAATGGTGGTGGGCTTTGTGGGCGGCCGGTAGCGGTACTTCTGGCGCTCGCTCAGCGTGTCCCACTGCGCACGCAGGATCAGCTCCACTTCCTCTTCACTCGCGTCCGCGTGGTCACGCATAATCTACACCCACGGCAAGCACGACAGAGTGACCCTCGCTGTGTCAACACCATCGTTAATGCTGCCACACAAAATTAACACAACTGATGGGGCATTTAGTTATCGCGTCTCCACCATCCTTTGACAAGCTGCACGCTCGCACTTGTGTGCGGTGTTACACAAATCATGTAAGATTCAGGTCCGAGAGGAAATGAAAGATGATCACAGTTGGTGGATTTTACTTCTGTTCGCAGTTCCTCAGCACAGCTGAAATAATCTCTCCAGACCACCTTGCCGCTGTCACCAGTGATACCTCAATGCCTTCTCTTCCTGAGAAAGTAACTGGTCATGCATGTAACTGGTTTCGCGCAAACCATTTTGGACCCACGTGCTTAACTTTCAACAATTAAACTTCAACCCAATGTTTGGAAAGCCAAACGGAGTTCACAAGTCACACACATACACCTCACGCAAAAGATCCTTCTTCGATCTTCTGTAATGATTATGGGCCAATAATCCTAAACCGCAACCACCGCACAAACCAGGGCAAATGCGGTTACTTGATGCACAAATAGAAAGTTAAAACCTCTCCTGTGTACAACTGTGGCCACCCAAAACAGACCATGGAACACATAAGGACCTAATGCCCAATTCACAAATATCAAGGGGGCATCAAAGTAACACTCTGAAATTCCTTCCACAATTATCTGTCTCAATCACCTTAATGGAAAATGTGTTGTTGCTAGACTTTATTAGCCATACAAAGGAGACTGATCATGCTGGGATATCCACTTAAACACATGTGCATCTGAAGCTCAAGCATTCACACACAAATTAGAATAAAATTAGAAATTATCAATGTCACAGTGGAATACTGCTCTTAAGTCTAAGTGGCAAATTAACTCTGAAATACAAAACAAAAGCAGCATCATCATCCATCAGTGATTTCATTCAACTTAACCTGGCAATGATATCTCAATTGCTTTGTAATCGTATAAAAATGCGGGGAATGGGGCGCATTGCCTCTGTCAAAAGCAGATGGACCAGACCAGAGTTTAAAGAAGAATGTTTAAGTTTCTCCTTAAACAGAATCTGTGGTGCAGAGCCAGCGTTCTCAGCCAAACAAGAATCTGAGTGGCACAGGTCTGCCTCCTACCTCATCCCATTGCCACACAACTGACCAATAACACTGACCACATCTCATTTACGATTATGACCCATATTAGTTTTCAAATACCATAATTGACACAATTCTGAATATGATTAAATAGAGAAAATTAGGACAACACAAACACGTTGTGCCTATAAAAAGCAGTCTTTTTAGAGTCAGTGGCACCTGCACTGATGATCTTAAGGAGTTACAACGTAGTTCCCTGCACACACGTAGCCTCTGCTCTGTGGAGAAGATGACACGGAAATGTTCATGTCTCCAGCAACAGAAGTGCCCTCGGGGTCACGTGACCTTTGCTCGATGCTCCCCAATTGAATTACAGCTGAAATCAAGGAAACTTATTTCGTTGTGAGAAAAAAACATTGAGGAAAAAGAACAAAAGAGAAAAGCAATCAACCTACACAATGTAATATCCACACCAGTCAGGTTATAGACAAGAGACAGCCAAGCAAATATATAATGTGTTTTTGGCACACCAAGATTGCTCAGTTTGTTTTTATACAGGACCCCACTTTCCACAATGTGAGATAATATGCAAGTCAACACGTTGTTGATATGCAGAAAATGTGCAAATTAAACAATTCCTTACAAAGCCTTCACGTCCGCTTCGTGGTAAGAAATGTATGGCATTGCCAATATTTAATGAGGTCCTACAATGGGAATTAATCAAGGAGTGCGGGCATGGTGAAGCGACCTACAGCTGTCCACACACCCCGTGTGAAAAGCGCTGACCATAGAAGACAAAGCTCACCATCGGACACAGTACACCAACCCCCGTGATCCTGCGACCCCCGTGACCTGTGCCTTGCCCGATGCAAGCGCCGGGTGCGGTTCCGTCTGTGCTCTCACCTGTGGTCGGTGCTTCTGGCAGAAGTAGTTGTAGCGCGCCAGGGCCATCTCACTCCGCTTGCTGCCCTGGGGGGGAGGGTTGCTTTTCTTCTTCTTGCTCACGGCCGGGTCAGGGGCAGGAGCAGCTGATGAAGCCTCCCCCGTGACCACGCACGCAGCGGAGGCTCCGGTGGCGTCCATGCGTGCGGCTGCCTGCGCCCCATCTCCCTGCTTGGAGCCCTCAGGATGTGCGGCCAACCGCCCTGCGCTCGTCTTTCTGTCCCTCTTGCGAAGCGCCCTTTTGGGCACAGAAGCGCCAGCAGCGCTCTTAACCGAAGCGGGGGCTCTCACGCGCCTCTGTCTCTTCTTGCCGTTACTCATGGCTGCTCCGCCGGCTGCGCTCGACACAATGCCCTCAGTGGCAGCTTCTGTACCTGTACAGCCAGAGCTTACAGGGGCACTACTGGTACCGGGCTGCTTACAGGAAACTACCCGCAGCCGACTGACGATTTCTAGATGTCGAGGTGCTTTTGCTGGCCGTCCCTGCAGAAGGACGTGACCTTTGGCGACCAGTAGTCGGCTGTACGACCAACTGCTTGCTGCCTTGGGCTATGATGGTGTCCACAGCAGCAGGTGGCGGCACTTTGGCTGCATCTATTTGGAGCTGTTGCTGCTGCTGACGGAGAGAGGCAGTGGGGCGTGAGGCATCACTGGCTCCCTGGCGCTTCCTGATGCGGGGTCGCGATGCTCCTCCACGTTTGCTCCCTGACTCCGAGTGGTTGTTGGCGGTGTTCGGGAAAAGCTGCTGACTGTTGACCAGCTGCTGAATGTTGGAGATGGACGAGGGGAACATGTGGCTGCTGAAGAAGTTTGGTAACGTTGGTCCAGTGCCGGACCCGGGCGAGTCGCTTGAGCGCGGCGACTGCCGGCCATTTCTCTCTGCTGCGTGGCCACTCTGCCCTCCCTTTTGCTCGGTATTTGCGCGTGCCTGGAGGTCCGGCTTGCCGCAGTTGGCGGGCGGAGTTGGGCTGCTGGTGGGCGCAGTGGCACGTGGGGAGCCCGAGGCCCCGGCACCATCACACGTTGGGCGGCTGTAGGCATCGTGCCGCATCATCGCATGACAGTGGTTGGGCCCTTCGCCACCTCCGCCATCCCCTCCTCCCACTGCGCACGCACCTTGGCCGAGAAGTGCTTCGAGAGCTGCGGAAAGGCAAGGGAGCATCACGTGGGGCTTGGCAGTCATGAATAGCACCAGCGGAGCATACGTTAAAGTGGCATCTGTTATGACTGCATCACGTTAGCACATAGACACATGGCTCAGGACCCCCAACAAACACCACAATCAAAGTAAGTGCATTCCTTGCACGTTAATCTGACCATCGGCATGCAATACTGGTAAAAATCAGTATTGGTCACGTAATATTACCTTGGCCATTAATATACTCACTATGGTGTTCTGTGCAATGTTTGTATGATTAGCTACGTTCGTTGAGCTACCATTTTTGGCCAGGTCGCTTCTGAAAAATAAACTACTAGCTCAGTGGACTTTACCTGGTAAGATAAAACAATTGCTTAGTTTGATTTGTATATATAAAGTTTTTGTTCTACCTTCTCTATATTTTGCACTCCTTTTGTGTTTTTGTATTGTCTGTTGTTGCAACGTTCTGATCTGCCCCTACTGGACATCTGTGAAAAGAGGTTTATAGGCCATCGTATTCCGCCAGTATACATATCCTGATTCTTGATTCTGTATCTGCTCTTGGTGGCCATCCTAGACAGTATGCAAATAGAAGACCTGTGCTGGGCATGATGGCACACACCAAGAACCCAACACTGGAGGCAAGCTGGTGAATACCATAGAGAATGTCATGAAAAACTTTTGAGTGTTATCGCCTTTTTGTATTGGTTTTCACTGCGTTTCCTCCGAGATAAATTATTCTATTAAAATACACAAAAAAGCATAAATTTGCATTGATTTTATCATATGTGCAGGTGCTAGGTGGATTGTTTGAACCATGAGAGATGGCACAGGCTTAGGAAGACCTTTGTCCAACAGCGAATGAATCACGGCTGTAAACGATTAATAACATACCCTTCCGCGCCTCACAATGCGATGACCTGAAATGGCGCATGACGTGTCATGAGATGTCATGCATAATGACATCTAGGCATGTGACATCATCACCGTGGCCGAAAAGGCTTACATATATTTAATCGGCTAGTTTTTGGGATCCCTTTCATTACGATGGCATGCTATCAGGTAAATTGCTTATAGCAAGACAACTCTACACTAATATTTAATTATATTTTATCATCTGTACAAAAGTTATTGTGACCCCTCACTACAGGTCTGAGCTTATGCATCAATGCTGTTGACCTTTGCTGAAAAGTGTAAAAATTCTATTTAATGTTACTCATTTTACTATGCTTGATATAGAATGCTAACCCGTACATACTCACATATTAATGGAAGTTATGGATTTAGTTTGTTTAGTTTATCAACATCCTTAATAATGAAGACTAAACAGACAAAAACAAGGAAATGTAGCTTAAATTATATTCAAAACAGCCATGACTGCAATGTTTTCAAAGTCTGCAAATATTACCTTCAGGTTCAGTTAATCTACTCTTATGCTAAGTATTTTCCAGCAATTCCATCTCATAGACGTGTTTTATAACCTGCTATGGAATTGGCATTAGGCCAAACCGTTAGACATCTACGTTTGGATGTCGTGTGTGCATGCCCACACAATGTTATGACTGCATTAGGTTTGCACACACATGCCAGATATAGTTGTAGCTTATATTGCTTTGTACATGCGCAGAGCCCTTGGGCTCTCCGTGCAGGAATGCAGGTACAAACGCCCACCCGTGCAGACCTAATAAGCACATCCGTAAATAAATGATCAGAAGTAGTTATTGGAGACCACACCGCCACCATCAGAACTTACGAATAACTTACAACCCAAGACAACATTATACTTCACACTCATCACAACTGCACACACAACCTGCAACTCACCTCTCCCACTAATTGTGTTAACCCGTCCCTGTTAACACAATTACTGCCAATTCAGGATTATAATATTGAATGCGAAAACCTGTGTCAAGGTAACAATTACTGCTGTATTAGCAAACTCTGATTATCAATTTTCTCCAGGAAAGTAAATAAATATTTCCTCTAAATCAGGGCTGTTCAAACTCTTCCACCAGAGACCCCTTTAATGTGACCGAAAGATTTGCAACCCAAAGAATAAAATACAATTTGGGGTTTCTAGACCCTCTAAATGCACCTGCATTTAGAGAGTCCAGAGTCCATCTCATTACAATTGGACCCCTGAGGATGGTGACCCACATCTTGAGAAATGCTGCACAACACAACGAGGCCAGTTAGAAAAAATAAACCATGATATCGTCTCTTCTCAACACCATCCCGGCATATTTCTCACTTCACCCACCAATCACGATGCAAGCAGTGCTTTCGAGCATTAGTAGTTGTGTATGTAGGTAGAACTTCTTTTGCACCACGCGTAGTCAACCGTGCCAATCGAAGGTGCAGGGAAGGACAACAAATTTAAACACTAAACAAATGAGTTTTCAATCTAAATTTGTGGGTGGCACCCACCAACCACTTGGGGGATTGTGGGAAGAACACCAGGCCCCTTTGCGGTGCTCACCTTGGGGCCACTTGCTTCATTGACAGCAGAGCCGCCCCACGGCGCGTCACCCTGCAGCTGCTCGAACTGGTGTTGCCCCTCAAACGGCACGGTGCTCTTGTCGGCCACCCAGGTGCGCTGCACCACACCGCCGCCCAGCAGCACGATGTGGTAGTGGCGCACCGTCGATTTGGCGTATTCTGCAGCAACAGGACGCACCGAGGACAGATGGGCAAGAAGCACCTCCGTGGCGCCCTCCGAGTGGCTCCTATCATCACGAGCAGAGGCTCCCCCCTACTTCTGTGGCTTCCTTCCAACTCTGAAGATCACACCGAGTTTGGTTGCACAGTTCGAGGGCGACACATGCCACAGCCGCAATGACACTTGCAGAGACGCACACAGCCAACGCAGCTCCACTGCAGGCTTGATCAAGTTCTTCATGCGTAAATACTCAACATCTCACCAAGACAAGACCCCTCTTTGAGGTATAGCAGAGATAAAATAAAATCTCCAATTAATTTATTGTAGTTTAATAATAATTTTATTCTTAAATAATAAGTTGCTATCTTGATTTGAAGCTTTCGTGACTGCAGGAATCCATACTCTTTGGTTCTTTCAGTAAAGTCACGTAGGTATAACATCATGCTTTCCCACCTGATGACGGACGCTTGTGTTGCGCCCGAAACGTCGTTATCTATTTCATTTTATACCTATGTGACTTTACCGAAAGAACCAAAGAGTATAATCAGTTGCTGTTTGTGGTGTTGTTTTTACTATTTTTTTTAGTTGACATCTTTTGTCTTTGCAAACATTTCAGGCCGTATTTTTACTTCCCTTCTTGTGCTCACCCAGGACTCTCTTGAAAGTATCTCAATGTCTCAGATCACAGGGTTGTATTTTGAAATACATGGTAGATATTCGGAGTAACATAAAAAACACAAGCAAACTTAGGTTCCATGCAGCAAGAGGGAAAAGGTCCATAAAGCCATCTAAAGCGCAGAATGCCAGGCCACAACAAACATCTCCATCTGCTCACTTTCACGCACACACACTCACTCCCAGCGCAACGCGACTCGACTCATTACATTTCGCTCCGCTGAATAAAATAGTTCCGGCGATTCAGTTTGCAAGTGCGAGTTCACTTTTTAAGTCGATGTAAAAAATATATTATGGAAGCTGGTTCGTGAGGATGTTCGTAAGTCAGGTGTTGTATGTCGAGGCCTGTACACAGTTCACCACCAAACACAGCCACCACATCTCTGTAGTGGTGTCGGTTCTCACCTAGTTACTCACCGATGCACTCTAGTCACTCTCTGACCAGCAGTCCACCTCCTTATCACTCTCATACTGCTACTGCTGCGATGGTTACGGTTCCTGAGAACTTCCTCCACACGTTGAAGACTTGGTCGACAAAACTGA